CCCGGCCCATACCCACTTCCGATCATCGGAAGCATCTTCAAACTCGGAGACAAACCGCACCACTCCCTTGCCGCCTTCTCCAAAACTTATGGACCTTTAATGTCTCTTAAGCTCGGCAACACCACCATGATCGTTGTTTCCTCTCGCGAAATCGCGCAAGAATTCTTTTTGAAACACGACTTTTCTTTCTCCAGCAGATTCATCCCATATGCTGCCAACGCTTTAGACCGCCATAAATCTTCCATGGTTTGGTTGCCGGTGGGGGATCAATGGCGATTGCTACGAAGAATATCCAAAGAACATTTGTTCTCGGTGCGCCAACTCGACGCTAGCCAGGTCCTACGCAAGAAAAAGGTTCAACAATTTCTTGATCACGTTCATGACTGCTGCAATAGCAGCAGAGCGGTCAACATCGGTCAAACCGCAACCACAACGACTCTTAACGTTCTTTCCAACTTCATCTTCTCGATTGATTTAGMTGAATATGATTCKGTTTCATCTCAAGATTTTAAGGATCTGGTATGGTGTTTGATGGAAGTTGGTGGAACATCGAATCTAGCTGATTTCTTTCCTGTTCTTCGTCCGCTGGATCCACAGGGCCTGCTACGAAAGGCAAATCTGTATTCTTCAAAGCTAATAGCGATATTCGAAAGACATATCAGCAAACGGTTGCAAGAAAGAAGGAATAGTTCATATGATGCCCCTCCATCATGCAAAGATCTTATGGATTTGCTGTTGGACATCAGCGAAAACGAGAAAGCCTCGATTAACGTCAATGACATACGTGACTTGATCTTCGTAAGTAATCTTGTTTCTAATCTCGAATTCACATAAAATACTTGAATTATATATATATATATATTGATCATGTAATGGTGCATACAGGACTTATTTATTGCAGGAACCGACACGACATCAAGCACGTTGGAATGGGCAATGGCGGAGCTAATCRACAACCCCGAGAAAATGTCKAAAGCTCRATCCGAACTYGAGCAAGTAATCGGAAAGGAAGACCGAACCTTTCAAGAATCCGACATCCCTAGGCTCCCATACTTGCAAGCTATTGTCAAAGAAACTCTTCGGCTGCACCCTGCAGTCCCGTTTCTAATCCCGCATAAAGCCATAACTGACRTTGACATCCGTGGCTACGTCATCCCAAAAGATGCACAAATCATCTGCAACTTGTGGGCGATGGGTCAGGACTCAAACGTATGGTCAAATGCGCAACAGTTTGAGCCAGAGCGGTTTCTTGAAGTCAGTATCGACTACAAAGGTCGTGATTTCGAACTGATACCATTTGGCGCAGGGAGGAGGATGTGTCCAGGGTTGCCTCTTGCACACAGAATGCTGCATTTGATGT